CATTTCATCAAAAGAATGGAGGAAAATGCAAACCCTTGTACATGCTGGGGTAAAGATTGTTGTGGCAAATCTAGTTCAAATTTTCAGACACGACGATCAATCAATAATTCCGAAGTCGTGTCTAGGAAGTGCAACAAGGTGGCTACTTGGTTGTTTAGTGGCATCACGGCTGCGTTCCTCACCTCGTTAGAGGTGTGCAATTGTATTCATGTTACCACCAAAGATGATTTGGACAGTGACGTGGGTTTTCCGTTGACACAAAGAAACGACATAGAAGGATGATTTTCATGAAGAAGATAACAAGAACTCGAGTTGTACAACTTAAAATGCCATTCTTAGGTAATAGAAGGTAAAGGACTTGTGTACGTTCAATTAAACTGATATATATGCTACTCCTTATTAAATTCATTTGATTAACTAGGTTCTATATATATATATACATATACTAGTCACAGCTAAACGTGCGTTGCACGCTATTTTGAAATGTTTTATAAACGCCGTAAAAATGATATTTGAAAATCAGTAAATATAAAAAATAGTTAAAAAATTTTTTTATGTGACATGAACTTTTTATGCATTCAATTATTTGTTTACGCTTGTGATAATAATTAACACTAATTTATATATATATCATGCTATAATTCAATTAATTAATTTTTCAAGTTCATGGATGTACACTTTATATATTTTGGAGGCCATTCAATAACTCTAAAAATACTACAATTCAATTACTCTAGTATGTGCATGTATACTAATTAACATTAAGTCATCAAGTTCATGTACACATGTTTTGGGAGTTATTCAATTATTTTAGGAGTAAATAAATTATTCTAAGTTCATGAACACCTATTTATTTTCAAGATTATTCATTTTATCATAAATTATTCTATGAGTACATAAATTATTAAAGATTATATAATTTGGGAGCTATTCAAATTATTATAGGAGTAGATAAATTATTCAAGTTCATGTACACTTATTTAATTTCAATATTATTCATTTAATCTATGATATAACACCATTTGTCTAAATTATTATTCTTTTTCTATATTCATTGGTTCAAATTAATTAAATTATATTTTAGTTAATATACATCCCTTGTTTAAATGTGTATAAATTATTATTTTTCTATATACAATTCAATTATTTACTTCCGTGCATGTTTAATAATTAATATTCAAGTAAACATTTATTGAAAAATGAAAGGTAGGGTACTATTGAAATAATTAAATTGTAGTAGGACTAAAATCGTCTAGAAAATAATTCTCACCTGATGCGATATTTAATATATTATAGATATATATTCTTTTCATTTTTTTTCTTTTCCACAAACTTGAACTTTATTAAAGTAATGTTTATGATAAGAAGAAAAGTATTCAAATCAAAAAAGACACAGACATAAGGAGTCCCAAAAATTTGCCAACCACATATCCGCTTTTGCATGTGAGAAATGTGGCCAAATTACCAAAAATTGGGTCGTGCCGCCCATGTTGACCAGGACATGCATCGACAAAAATAGTGATGCCAGGGAAAGAGTTTTACTTGAAATTAATCAATTATAAAGAATTCTCCACCAAATATATTATGGCAGCTTAATCTATTGACTATTCTATTCTATTTTATTTTTTTTGCCTTACATCAAACCATATATGCACTATAGTGACAGGAGAGTAGATAGATAATATATTTTGGACTTCAATTTGTTGAAATGAAACTTTTTCCGCACCGCGTCACTCTTTTATTATCTCGAAGTTAAACTTTGAGGGTGTTGAAGAAAAAAAAGAATTAGAAAATGAGCACACTACTATAGATTATATATGTGATTAAAACGATATCTTGGCATTCCTTTCTTCTTAACTAAGTTTTGATTTGTTTCCCTTATATCAGTATCGACAAAAATTGAAAATCTATTTTGATATTAGTGAACATTACTGATAGAAACACGATATGCAAATGATTATTGATTAACTCAATGACGAAGGATCTCACAAAGCCTTTATCACTTAGTTTTCAACTTTTTGGGAATATCTTAACGGATGTGAAAGTTGAGTCGATATCATCCAAGGTATTTTCATTGGTAAAGCCATCAACATAGCCGATGGAACTTCTGTTGATGACTACCGTCAACTTTAACGACCAACTTTTCGTCAATGATAATCAATGGAAGTGTGTTGAGTCATTCCTTTCTCTGAGAAACCTTCAATCACTAAAAACATAAGGCATTAATTTGTTAAAATAGTAATGCTTTTTCCTCCTGCATTTTCTGGTTGACAAGTGTTGCTCCTCCTCTTGCAATTATGGAACTTCTAGGGGGATATCAACGTTGTGGTAAGTGCCCCCCCCCCCCCCCCCCCCNCCACATTCTCTGGTGCCACCGGAGAACAAATATCAATACCTTCTTGGACGCCATTACTTTCTTTTTGTCCAATTCTATTGCACCATCGTGCTGGAATTACTAAGGAATGTTACCCTTTAATTTTATACATATCTACACATGAATAAAAATCAATATGTATATAGATACATTAGGGTAATCGAGTCATTCACTGATAAAAGTTTCGTCATGGCATTGTTTCGATTCTTTCAAAAATAATAATCTCTTCATCCCATAAAGATATATTTGCTTCAATTTTTACACAGATTAAAAAATATAATTCATAATTGAAACAATATGTTTTACTTAAATTTTTTCTAATGGTTTAAATAGAAATAGTTCATATGTTGATAACAAAAGACATTAAATAGATGCATATAAGGAAACTAAGATCAATTGTACTTTCAATTTGGGACATATGAAAAAGGAAAGTAAGTATATTTATATAGTACGGATGAAATATAAAATTTATCAAAAACTTGCAACTAGTAATAGTGTAGTGATGCATGCGAAGAATATCGATAGAAATACACTATAGGTGAGTGCTTGTTGATGAATTCATCGGCTAAAGGAAATGTGATAACCTCCGATGGAAATTTCATCGGCGAACCATCCACATCGCACCAACAAAACTTCTATTGGCGATTACTAACAACTTCACCACCCGACTTTAAATCAGTGATTTCCAACACGATTGTCTAGATAGTAATGACATTTCTGACCAATTGATAATGATTGTTTAAACACTTTTTCGATTTTTCAAAAAAAATCTTTAAAGATCTCTAGAAAGTGGCATCTAATAAGCTACGATTGAACAAAAGTAATACAACATATAATTGCAACGGAGGCCCCAAACCCTTCAAACCATGACAGACTTTTCCCTAACCTTTCAATTGTTGCAACTGTCACTCCAAACCTTTCAAATCATAAAGGTCCCAATGGACAGTTTCCATCCAATCCATCGTTAGTTGACCCAAAAAATTATTTTTGATCACATATTAATCAATTTTAAAAGAGGCAAAATAGTAATTTAATATTTTCCTCATAAAATAATTAAAAACTTAAAATCAAAAATAAAAAAATGAAATAGACAAGGAAAGGAAAGGATAAATTATCTTCTTCATTGACCCCCAGCCCCGGCCCCAATCCCCTCAACCCAAAACTAGAAATTTGCCACCACAACGCCTACTGTCATCGACCACCACTACCGACATCTCCGTCAATCACTTGAATTAGAATTGGACCCAGTTATGTAGCCGAATCCAAACTCATGAATATTATTTTCATTTGACGTTGAAGAATGGGTAGGCAGTGGGTGTCCTCTATCTAAAGACGATGACATTGAATCGAATCCTGAAAAATCTACGCCACTCCTTAGTGAATTTTTTAACTGTTCACCCATATTCTTATTTTCTTTGTCCCATTTCCTTTCATTCTTGATTGTTGCAGAATCCTCTTTCTCACTTTCCTTGTTTTTCCCTTACCAGGTTGGTATTTTCAAGAATTTAAATTACTCGATTATAAAAATGGACTTTATTCCTCTTTATATATACGTAAGGGTATGTATAATTATATACAGTGTAAAAGGAAAATAGGTAAAAAGACTGGATCCCAATATTTTGAGAGAGCTGGTGAGTTTAGATAATTTTTCAATTCAAGGTGTAAATGGGAAGGCCACCGTGTAGGTACAATAAAAAATAATGTAGTGGGGTTGAGGTTGATGTAGAGGTGGGGGACGGCAGGCGGCAGACAATTTGTGTGAACCTGTGTTTTCTGCAAGATGGACATCAATACCTTAAATTTTCAGAATAGAAATTATATTCTGTGTACCTTATATTAAGTCATAGGATTAGATTTAGGTCAACAAACAATCTCCTCCTAAGTTTATTCTACTGCCACTAGTCAAACTTAAAAAAAATGAATTTATATGCTTAAATAAACTCTTAATCATTTATCACGCTCTCTCTTTTACGAAATCCTAGATCATGTACAGTAGCCTCCATAATTAGTTATAAAATAGTGAAGATTACCGATAATCGCTCTACATGATATGACAATTTTTATTCGATGTATTAATGTAGAAATTTTTTGTTGCCTCATATATCAAATAACAAACTACCAAATTTATGATTGTAGGACGACTGTCGGTAATTTTCACTATGAATAATATTATTCAATCATGAAGTCACGATAATTGCTAGTCGACTAACTGTCAAATATATATCACGTAAGACGACCGATCGATTTCACTGTGAATAGTGTTATTCAGCCACAAATCCTGGCGAGGATAAGGAAGCAGACTAACCATATGGCTATCCCCGCTACAGTAACATGACCCGCGTTCAGAAGATCCTACCTGTTTTGTTTCTTCATGACTAAGCTTGTGCCGGGACCCACATGCTGATGTAAGCCCCATGTCCACTTTTAAAAGCCAAGAGCAGCCCCCACCACCGTTAGTGGAGCATGACTCAAAAGCAGCTCCTTTAAAGCTGGTAATTGACCAAAATGCCCCTATGTGGGCCACAGAATGGCTCTCCGCTGCCCCATAAATTGGACTCTCCTCCCTCTCGTTCCTTCCCTTTTCCCCTCCTAACCTCTCTCTATCCCTATAAGCGGTTTTCCGGCGATGATGTCAACATTTCCGTCCGTTCTTTCCTCCGATACTTTCTGGAACCCATGTCCATCTTTCGAAGGTGGTTTCACTCCTTGGGATTCCCATGACCGACAGTTTCTCTTTCCACCACAAGAAGAACCGGTCCTCGTTAACCAACCACCACCTCAAGAACCGATCAATTCCAATTCCAGTTCGGACAACCCAACCCCCCTCACTCCAAATTCTTGTTCCGATGAAACGAACCAGAACAGATGTAAAACCATGAGCTCCGGTTCAGAGGAGACTATCCGTTTAGGTAATAATGCTATCATAGATGAGAGAAAGCACAGACGCATGCTATCGAACAGGGAGTCGGCGCGGCGGTCCCGAATGCGTAAACAGAAACATTTGGAGAACTTGAGGAACCTCGCGGACAGGTTTACGATTGGGAACCGGAAACTAAAGAACCGAGTGGTTTTGATAGCACATCAGAACCAATTCGTCCGGCGACAAAATGATCACCTCCTATCGGAGGTGTTCATGCTCCGCCAGAGATTGTGGGATATACGTCAAGTATTGCTTGTTCGGCAGCTTCAGCAGCACTTAAATCCCTGCATGGCCATGCAATAACATTACGTCCATCAATGAAGAACAAATTCTTCATCAATCACATTATATAACATTTATCATAATATAAAAATAAATAAGCCCGTTTCTTGAAAAACATGCATGCATGAACCCTAGGAAAATCTCTCTCGTTTAGTGCCGGTCAGTGTAAATTAAATCTAGAAGCGGAAGAAATTGGCGATGATTTTTGGAACTAGATCTCTCTCTTTTTTTTTTTCGTGTGTGTGTGTGTGTGTGTGTGTTAATATTATTTTGTAAAGAGTTTCTTGACGTATGGCTTTACTTAATTAATCAAATGACATGTTAATACGTAGCTAAAATTTCAGTTTTGCAGTATTAAATTTGACATACGGTTCAAAAATGAAAATTTATCATATAGATCAAACAACAACATGCAAGCAATTATATGCATCCAAGATCCAATAGAATAATATATATTTAATGGAGCGCTTGAATCTTGTCAATTATTGCATTGTGTCAAAAGCTAAAGCACATTTAGCCCCTATTTGGTGGCACGTTAAGATCAGATTTTTAGTAAATTTCGATAAAATTTGATGATATGTGTAGTTGAAATGTTGTGAGACTCATAAAACATGTGGTTGATATAAATTGTTGATTTTGACGTATATCAAAATTTAGACTTTAATCGGTACCAAATAGGGACGGACTTGGTATTGCAAATCATGTTTCGCGGAATATAGATACGGACACCCACCTCAGCTCCCCACTCCGGCTGGTAAAAAGTGATAATAACATATGAAGGAACAAAGCAACAAGTAATCATAATTTATAATTGTCACAATAATTACGTTCAAAATAGTTTATGGATATGAAAAATGTCTTAAAAATATTTGAGGATTCTTTGGGAATTAGTACTTAAAAATATATTTTTTAAAATGCCTTTAAAATATATGAAAAATGTACTTTGAAAATAATGGGGACCAAACACGGACTTAATATACGTATTTGTGCATAGACACATTCAAGCTTACGAGATTGTCTCACAGTCCACGTCCAAAAAAAAAATAAAAATAAATAAATAAATAAAACACGATGTTGAATAAAGAATCAATCAGAGACGGCAACTATGGTTCTTTATGTGCGCGAATAAGCAAACCCATATATCAACCAACTTTTTGTTTGATTGGTTTTGAATGCAGCATAAATGAGATGGGAACTTTATTGTTTTATTAATTAATAAAATAATGGATGCCTTTATATTTTCACTGGTAACTAACGCTGACGCTCAAAGAGGTAGACCAATCAATCCCATCTCTAATTAATTAATAACTTTGATAAAAGTAATTAGAGCTTAAAAAAAATCGTCAATTAGTGTAGTGGGCAGCTAAAGAAAAAGGTATTTAGCCTTTTTCAATAAAAAATCCGATTACAAAATGGGAAAAAAATACAAAAAAAAAAAAATCTTCTGCGCACGTCAAAGTTTTCAGTTTTAACCTTCTTAATTAATTACTGACCTCAATGGTCTCTGTCGACGTACATGACTAGGTCCACTGTACGTTTATGCACATGACTCCGACCTTATAATCTTTTGATAATTATTATAAGACGACTGACGCCAATATTCATGAATGACATCTCATTGTTAGTTGAGCTTACACCTTTTTGAATATTTATAGGAGTTTTGGACAAAGTAATTTACAAGAATCACGATAAAAATCAAATTCTTTCCGAACAGGTGGCACCAAGGTGCCCCGAGGCTGGCACCTATGCGCCCGGCCCCTGTTCCTTATTTTTGCTGCCGGCGCCAAGGCGTCCCGTTTCGGAACCAATGCTTTCAAAACACTTTTTTATCACTCCAAAGTCATTTTCTCCATCAAACTCTCAATTCATAATTAAATTTGATCCCTTATCGATCCGAACCTACCAACAAAAATTATCTAAACTTCTTCCATGAATCAAACTTCCAAATCACATTGAATTTGAGTTACAACCTAACATGAACTCTTATAAATAGAGAAAAAGCAGTCAAATTTAGTAATGAATTTTTTCCTCGCACATTTTTTACTACGCTCTACTCAATTATTCACTTTGGCATCACGGACTAAAGTACCAGAGAATTTTCGGTCATTGCACCCCATCTTTTCAACTATTAGGCTAATCAAGGGTTCATTTCCAGAATTAGCATCCAACTCACGACGATTCGATCCACCATGCAAGATTTAGAAGTAAAAATAGGCATACTGCCATAGAGCAATGCTCGGTGTACAGAAAATATTTGTACAAATAACTTACCTACACACCCATTGGTGGGTCCCACATCAATAAAAAATGCTATAACATACACTCACCCATCCCGTCATTGTGTCTGTCGGTAAATTTTACAGAAAAAAAATCTAATGTACAAATGGAATTCTCCTACTGCCATACGGGTCTCAGTCAGACGCCCTTGTTTGATGATAAATAATGTTCCCACCTTTGGGGGCAGTGAATTATACAAAAATCTGGAAAACGTAAAATGACGCCAAGATGGTGTGTCTATCTCATTGACAACTTACTGCCACCTTCAGAATTCAAAAGAAAGAAAGAACGAAAGCAACAAATTATTAATTTATATTTTATTCTTAATATATTTCTGGCAAGTTCGAAATTTTTTATAGATGAATTTTAAATTAATTAAATGGATCACAGGTTTACTTATTCAATTTTTAAGCATATCGTGTCCATCTTAAAATTCTGCCACGTGTGTATTACTTATTATCATCAATCAATCAGAATTTACAGAAAATTGAAGGGACAAACTGAAAAGCGTCGGTGCAATGACCAAATTCTGATATTACACGGTGCAGGACGTGTTAAGTGGTGTTTGGCTTGCCTGCTGTCTTAATTAGGTATTGATAAGTACCCATTAAATCAAATTATTATTATTATTATTTTTGTATTTGAGCCTTGATTACAACCTGACCCAGCCCCTTTGTATTATTTTTACTGTTTCTGATTAGAACCCTTTTCGAATCAGTTTTACGACACGTGCTGAGTTCGGTGCATTGTCTCTTCCGGTGAGTAATAAAGATGCAATTATTATTAACTTTTCATAATACAAATTCCTGTGAATTGAAGATAATCTGATTTATAAAAAACTATTCTACGAGTACATTAGAATTTACACTCTGGTGTACATAATGCTCAAGTAGCATTTCTTCATTGGTTGGTGAAAAAATCGTCTTTCCACCAACCAATGATGAAATATCATTTGAGCATTATGTACACCAAAGTGTAAACACTGATGTACGTGTAACAAAATTCATTACACTTGGGTATCAAAACTCAAAACAGTGGCTTGTTTCAATGGAACCAGCCTGTTTAAAAGTATAGTCTTGACCTAGTCTAAAACCTCGTCCAAAACGTTGTAAATATTGTGTGTCGGGTGGTCCAACTTGTCAAAAAAAAAATATGATCCTTTTCGTTGTGCTTATAAATTACATCATTAAATTATTCGTGAAATATAAAAAATAATTTACTAATAAATTGTGCCGGTAATAGTATTTGGCTGATAATATCGAAACCAACAAATAATTCCCCAAAATTTTAAAATGGTAGGCAGCACTATAATCAATAAATATTAAATATGTTATACCTATATATTACGTGACATCGACTATTTAATTACAAAGATCTATTTAATCAAGTTGGATATTTTTAGGCCTAAGCTTGGGTTCGGCCCATTAGGCTCACATGCTCATTTACATTTTCTATATATATGTGATTCATTTCATAATTAAGGTATATTCTCTAACCCTAACCAAATCATCTCTTCCTCTCTTCTTCTCATATTTCCCTCGTCCAATAGTTGACTTGACCGTCGGAATGTAAATTGTTGTCGAACCATTTGCCTCATAACGGGGTATTCTGTGTGCATGTGACGTTAACGTGGAGGGAGCGTGACAGTGATTCTGTTGGCGCATATTTTGGGGTCAACAAAATACATATAAAGAATACATAAACAAATATTTCATTTCATTTGGCAATAGGACAAAAATAATTAAACTCCCATTTGGTCCCATGAAAATTATAATTCATTTTTCTCTCTTCTTAAACGCAAATTTTTTTTTCTTTTTTAACCACATATTCTTAAAAAATACTATTTCAAAAATTATAATCTCAAAGAATGGAGGCCAAACGAAGCTCAATCAATATTTTAATATACAAAAGAAAAAGGGGACCAGTCGAAGGAGTGGTTGAAAATTAAGCACTTGTCCCCTGACCCATTAATTTCGTCACATTTTTTTAATGTAAAATTAAGTTTAAAGAGTTACGTTTAACTATTTTTCTTCTTCGTAATATTCTGATTAATTCTTTATAATGTGACAAACACAACGAAGAAACATCACATCCCTTTCGTTTCATTTTGATAATTGATATAGTCATTAGACTACTGAGTACATAGGTTCCATACAACCTTTTTCAAAGCATTTCTTTAAACAAATATGATAAATATCTCTATGTTTAATGAAATTACAACGTAAGAACATCTTGCATACTGAAATTTAAAGAATCGATGTAAAATTATCAAAATACACTTCAAAATCGACATTATAGAAAAATCACAAGCAAAGTTAATACTTCAATATTGGCTCTCGTTCTTGACTATATGATTGGATGATTCAAGGGGACGCAATGATCTCTATAAGATAGAACGTGAATAAGAAAGAGAGACGTGTTATTATAAATTTTAATTTTCATATTTAATTTTATTTGAAAGAGAGACGTGTCATTTACAGGCGTCATGTAATGCAGGAATCAAGGTTGGAATGTTTGAGCTACAAATAAAAGGCCCAATTTGAATATAAGATCAAGCTTGGGCTTACTAATAGGCCATGTTCTTCCCAATCTGGATTTATTTTCACTAATATGATAATACTAAAAACGTATGTAAAAATTGTGGGTTCATCTCGAACCAGGTTTGAGCGTTGGTGGGGTCGATCCTGTTATTTCAAGAGGAAATTACAAAAAATCAGATGTTTAAAGAATGATTATCAAAAATGAAGTTTAAAGTTTAGTTATTCAAAAATTAGGTAAAAATTTTATGTTTTAATTAATATAATAATATTATTAAACGTAATAAGTTTAATTATTCAAAAATCATGTAATAATTTTATATTTTAATTAATAAATAATATTATTAAACTTAATAATTATTAACCCGAATTTTATCAATTCCTCCCTCTTGTCTCCTCCCTTCTCCCCCTGTGAACGGCAGCGTCGCGACACCGTGAACACTACGGCGTTACGACGTCGTCATTCATAGCGTCGTGACGGGTGGGGCGTGTGTGCTGTGAGTGTGTGTGTGCGTGTAGTGGAGGAGTGGAGTTGTGGTGATGGTGTTGCGTTGGGGTGTGGTGGTGGTGTTGATGCTGGTTGTAGTGGATTCAGGTCTGGTTGGTGGTGGTGGTGGTGGTGATAGTGTGTGGTTGAATGCGGTGGTGGTGGTGGGTGTGTGCGCACTGTGGGTGAGGTGGTATTGGAGACATGGTGGCGGCACTGCCAGTGTGTGTTGTTTTACCAGTTGTGGAACAGATGTGGTGGGTTGGTAGGTTCGGATCTGGTTTGATGGTGGTGGTGATAGTGATGATGCTGTGGTCGAGGTGTTGTGTTGTTGGTAGTGGTGGTTCTTGTGGCAGAGGCGACAGGATGAAGAGCGTTTATGACAACTATTTGGTTGATTTGTGACCAAGTATTGGTGATGGATCGGGATCGGGGGTTATTTTTTGGTGTATGTGACCAACTATTTGGTTCTCTGTAACAAATCGTTAAACCGTGACCTTGAATTTTGATAATGTGACCAAAATTTTGAAAATATGTGACCGATAGATAAACTGTGACATATAAATTTTTTGATCTGTGACCAACGAAATAAACTGTGACCTATAAAATTTTTGATTTGTAATATCGAAATAATTTGTGACCAATGAATTTGATAATATGTGACCAATAAAAGTTGTGACATATAATTATGCTTCTGTGACAATGAATTATATATTATTATACTTAATTAATAAAAATATTTTTCATTTATAATTAAATATCTGATTTTTGCATTTGTGAAATTTAAAGCCAGATTTATGAATTTTTCCCCTTATTTCAATATCCAGAATTACGTATTACGATTTGAATATTTCGTAAATAGAACCATTTTAGGTCTATCTAATTACAAGAACCGAACATGAACTTGAACGTGAATGTCAATTCTGACTTTGCTAGAGTTTGGTTCTATCCATAATATTTTTTTAAAAAAATTACGAATTGAAAATACAACTTCTCTTCTCAATATCTAGCAGAAACAAAATAAATAATATCCAATATCTAACATCATGGCATCTTATTGTCAAGCAAAATATATTATCAAATTGCATCTAATATCTAAGTAAGCATAAACACCAAATTACATACCCAAAACAAATCAAAAGCTAGAAATCAATAATAAGGAATTACTATATTCTACAAATGATTATACCAATAGAATCCATTCATTTGAAAACAACATAACAATCAATATTGTCGACTTTTCTTCCATTCCATCATTTCTTTTGGATCTTATCGGGTCATTGGGCCAAAGTAGATAAATTATAAAAACTTAAGACTTATAAGAGAGGACAAATTCGGTTCTATAGCCAGGTAAACGTTTCCAATTCAAGAGATTCAGTTATAGTTAAAATACCTATCCCTATGTCAAACCATACGAAGTATCATATTTATTAAGGAAAACTATTTTTTAATGGATCTTGTTATTGTTACATGTACATCAAGAATCACATAATTGATTACATAATGACATATGGCAATCTACTATTTGTCAATTTAAAACACGATCAATTTTTCCCATCCACATCATATTATTTAATTCATTATGTACAAGCAGCAAAATCCCTTTTTAATTAATGTTCCATTTTCTCAAATCCTTTTACATTTAATTTTTAGTCGAAGAATTGCAAAATAAAATCTTGAAAACATATAATGTGACAAAGCAAAGCAGCACCATAAAAGTGTACACTGTTTAAAAGAAAAAGTAGATGATCTTATCCATTTTTAGTCATGGGTAATGATATTTATCATTATAACGATGAAACATTTGTGATGTGGAAACTAAATTGGAATAATGATACAGGACATTTCAGCTTTCATGAGAAAGATGAGGATTGAATTATCGTATCCCATTATTCCACATAAATAATCACATCACCGACATTACATCATTATAATGATAAATAACATTATTTTTTAGTTATATAGAATCATATTCAGTGAGTGTAAATTCTTGAAAGTGAAAACAAATTTATTTAATTAAAGTTTTATATTCAATATTCTTCTCTGTGCATCCAATCTGTGAGTAACAGTGAGTGTAAATTCTTGAAAGTGAAAACAAATTTATTTAATTAAAGTTTTATATTCAATATTCTTCTTTGTGCATCCAATCTGTGAGTAACAGCATTACCTTAAATGGTACATCTAAGAGTCTAAATTTTTAGAGTCGAGACTCGACAGCACTCGGCCTGGTGTTGGAACTGTTTTGAGAAGATTAAAAAAAAACCCAACTAAATTGCACGATTAACAGAATTAGAACCATAATTAAAATATAAAAGTCAATATTCACCGAATATTACACTGTAAAACTTTAATTACAACATGTTTACAAAATAATACACCTACAATTTATTGTGAGTTCTTAACAAAGGGTTTAGCTTTGTACCTCTCTCTTGGAAGAGGAGGAAGTTTAGAAAGCCTAACAAAATTATCACTTTCAACATCACAACACTGTTTGCATGAGAAAACACTCTTACTGTAATTCCCATTTCCCTTAATCTGATCTTCTCCCTTATGTCCTCCACCGTGATTCCGAATTACGCTTTTCGTGCATGCCTTTAAAGCTGCCAAGAATGGATCATCTTGCCACCGCAGTCCCTTCACTGCATGGCTTCTTCTTGGAGGTGTAGACGCTGAGTACGGAGGAGGTGGCACCGGAATATTCTTGGAATTGGTATCAGAGAGGATAGGACAGGTTGTTAGGCCTATATCCATGGAGGACTTTTGGTGAGTGAATTTGGGAAGTCCTGGCTTTTCTTCCCAGGAAAATGGTACACATCCTTGTGAATGAAATTTTCTGCGATTCATTGCCTTAGAATTTAAGGGTAATACTGAATTAATAAATGGATTTATAGTGGCTTGCGTTGTTAGGCTATTTTCACTCACTTTCCACGCTTGTTAGAGAAATAGACCTTAGAGGAGCATGTTTGTTTCGTAACATCGAATGAAATTCAACATTATATTACGTTAAAAAATGTTTTAAAATTTCTACAAAAAATTTGAAAATTTTTAAATTGTTGTGAGGGCAGTCGCCAATCGACCCCGTTATGCTCGTCCCCTCGTGCAATATAAAATGTTTTTGGAAAAGATGGATGAAATAACAACCAATTTTTGGATTAATGTCTAAGGAAAGAATGTGGTTGATGACTCCTGAGACGAATTGCAAGAACTTAGTCAATGATATGTTCTTAAACTATCATGATGACTTAAAAAAATTGGTAGATTAATTAAGCAACATATATATAACTAATGAATTATTAGCATCGAGAAGTTGGTGGATTAGTTGAAAGAGTTTAAAAAATAATAAGTTGTCGAATATAATATTTTACTTTTTTTTTGAAATGGATAGTAGTCATCAATCTAATTTGAGTTATACATATTGTACTAACGAAAGTTGTGAATCATTTTCTTGTTGTACAACTGAGTCGAGAACTACGATGATCCTGTCAAGAAATTTTTCCTTTTGTTTTCCCTTTACTTCTCAACTGTGGCCGAATTACAATTCTACTATTAGATTTCAATCTTAATCAAGAAACGTAATAAAAATACTTTCTATCAACTAAAGTCGTGATTCTTGAACCATATATTCCGTTGATGCCAAGTATGAGACCGTCGATCGTAAAACAAAACTTGTATAAGAGTATTTGAAAATGGTACTTGTCCCGTCCTTTCTACTAGCTAGTGGAACCTCACACGAGGCATTTATTAAAAACATGTGAAATAGTTCTATGAATGGTTATATGAAAAGTTTTAGTCCCACTAGCGTCGATCACCCAGATAATATAATTGATTTCTACCCCAAGGCTAGCCTGCCCTAATTCAATATGGGCTGGGCCTGCGGACAGTTTTTTTATTATTGGGGTACTTACAAAAATACCCTTAAAATTATGAATATTTTGAAAAATCATATGACAGTTTTTTAGGAAGTAAAAAATACTGTGTAAAATGAAAAGGTGACACAATGTCACCTTTTTACTTTTTTTTTTTTTAAAAAAAAGTGACAACTCAAAAAAAGTGACCCACACTCAAAAAGTGATACAAACTCAAAAAAGTGATAAACTCAACAAAAGTGACACAATGTCACTTTTATAAAATTGACGAGCAATGTTACTTTTAAAAAAGTGATACAATGTTACTTTTATTAAAAAAATGATATTTCACTCAAAAAGTGACAAAAAATATCAAAAAAGTGATAGAAAAAGTGAAACACTTTAAAAAGTGATAGAATTAAAAAAATGACTAAAACACAAATCAAAAATTTGGAATTAATTCAACCAAAATTGAATAAGAGATGTCCAAAATTCAACCTCTTTTATACATAAATTTTTAATCCTACCAATAATGTCTTCAATTTAGCAGCTTATGCAGAACAACAAGAAGTGCCATAGTATTCATGAAATGCAAATAGCACATTCCCTTCATGATCTCTCAGGATTCCCTCTCCAGCAGAATCACCACTAGGAATCTCCAACTGCTTTAAATAGCCATCGGTATTCAATTTGACAAACCTATCACAGGGTTTTTGCCATAGAACCAGGGTAGTCTCCCTTTTACCCTTTCTCTTCCCCTTTCTCATTCGCTTTCTCTCTCGCCTTCTCTTTGTTCTATTGGTTCGTGCACTACCAGAAGAGAAGCTACGTGGACTATCCATTTCCAAATCCCTCGACTGATCTTCATTACTGAATGAATCAGCTTGTGAGATGTCATCTTTCTCCTCCACAAAGCTAGAAGAGTATTCTTCCGTCTCCTTTTCTCTGCTGGCATTTTCATTTTATTGCACTCCTTATCGCAAATGGCAGCGGCAAATATTATTCTTTTAATCATTTTATCAAACAGGTAACATTCGTGCACAATATGCCCCTGGTGCAAATAGAGACTGCAATAGGTGAGGATATTTTCATACATTCGTGGACGATTTGGCAAAGGTGGTGGTAGAGGAGGCGACGGAGCCAATAGAAGCAATCAAGAACAAGAAATCAGTAGCCACCACAAAAAACCCTCCGTCAGAAATCAACCCAGACCTCATTAGTTTTTGAAGAATGCTTGATCGAATCCTCCATAGAAACCGGCACCGATCTCATTAGTTCCACCAAGAACCCGACCTCACGTATTATGAAATCTATTTTCTGAAATGAAGAATTATCCCTTTGAGATTGGAGAGGAGTTTATGCCTGGTTTTGATGAATTTGACCGTAATTGATATGGAGATTAAATAGATAATTATGTTTAAGTGTATTATTCTAATTATTTCCTTTTTTGAAGTGTTGAGCCTAATTATCCCTTGATTATTTCATGTCCATT